GCAATTGCTTCGGGTCAATTCCCAAATTTCTCAAAATCAGTTATTACATTCTCCAAAAATATTCCTAATAGACACCAAAAGATTATGTCAAGAATTCTCAAAATTCCCCTTGAGACTAAAAACAAAAAGCATCTGGGTGCTCCCATTATTTCAAGTAGGGTGTCTAAGGAGGACTTTAAATTCTTTGTGAGAAAATGACTAGGAAACTTGCGGGATGGAAAAAGAACACTCTTTCACTTGTTGGTAAGCTGACCCTAATTAACACTTTAGTTTACATGATCCCTTTATTTGTGAAGGAATCTTTTAAAATCCCCATTAATGTTATCAATGATCTTGAGAAAGCTCAAAGAGAGTTTATTTGGTCAAACTCAAGATCTCAAAATCCTATCCATCTTGTTAATTGGAAGAAAGTGTGTACTTCCAAAGATGATGGGGGTTTGGGTTTAAAAAACTTTCGATGGATTAGTAAGGCCTTGCTAGCCAAATTGCGATGGAAAATTATTACAACATTGACAATCTCTGGGTAAGAATAATGGGGTGCAAATACTTGTCTACTAGCAATTTTTTGGGAAGTTGAGTAAAAAAAAGGTATTTCTTGGATTTGGAGAGGAATTCTTACTCCAAGGGATATGATAAAAAGAGGAATGAGGTGGCAAATTGGTAATGGAAATTCGGTCAATTTCTAGAAGGACACGTGGGCTGGAAATACCCCTAGTGTAGATGAAGTCAACCCAAGTAGTACCCCAAATCTGGAGATGCCGATTAGTAATGTGATTGATTAGGGTAGAAAGGTTTGGAAGGAATATCTCATTAGATCTTCGGTGTTTGATTTTGTGTGGCACCGTATTAGATCCATCTTAATCCCATCTAATAATTTGGAGGACAAGATAATTTGGAAGTTTTCTCCGGATGGCAAATTCTCTGTTAGGACAACCTATAATGAAGAATGTAGTATTAATGGTGGAATAGGCAATACCGATGGAGGTTAAAATTATATTTGGAGAGTGGAAGTCCCTCCTAAGATTAAAGTTTCTCTTTCTTTTCGTTTCCTTAGTGGCAAACTTCCCATGAAGAATAATCTTATTGTAAGAGGTCTTAATATTAATCCGGATATTGATCTTTGTGGTAAGAAGGAGAATATTGACCATTTTTTCATTAAATGTAATCTTACTGAACAGATTTGGATGCTTGTCAATGCAGTGCTCCCAATTCCTAATGGTAATGATGAGTCGGTTAATGTCTGGTGGGATAAAATTTGTTCCATTAATGATAAGCTGTTTAGAGAGAAAATATCATTTATATTTTGGTTTATCTGGAAAAATAGAAATGAGAAGTGCTTCAGTAATAAGTCATCTCCTCCTCAAATTATCATTGACAGAGAGCATTTGACTATTGGAATGAGTTCAAGAATAATACAATAACTGTAGTCAAGGAGAATTTAAAAGTTTGGACTTACCCTAACGCCAGTTTCATAAAATTAGCTTTGATGCTTCTCGTAGACAAAATGGTTGGTGTTCTATTCTGTACATTGCTCTCGATCTTAAGGCATACTGCATCGGTTACTCGACTATCAATTTAGGGATTCCCCTATCTATCTTAATTGAAGGTGATTCGAAGCTCATGATCTACTGCCTTAGAAGGAAAGTTTAACCTCCATGGAAACTAGAAAGCATCATCAATGAGAGCCTCAAGGTTGTGTTGCAGATCAATGCAAGCATCAATTTCATACACGTGTATCGAGAATCAAATCAAGTTGCGGACAGGCTCGCCAAGAATGCTCCGTTTAGGGGCCCAGTTAATGCCGATTGTATTTTGTTTGATCTTAGTGTAATTCGTTATCCCCCGTCCTGTCTTGTGTAACTCCTCTTTTTCCTATTAAAAAAGGGTCTCGATTTCTGTGCACATAGCTGTTTGGGAAAGCTTCAAATTCTCACTTCCCCTAATGGTGGCATTTCATGAAACGCCAATCTTACCTGGCGCCGATGTGTCAACTGAGTTGGCTGAAGGTTGGCATGATCCGGTGTATCGTGGGCCATCCAAAATGCAACAAAAAAGCACAACCCGAACAAAACAAAAGACTTGTAGCACCGAGGCAACCAATAGGAGGGAGCCGTTGTCTTCCTTACAGGAGGCGTCCCGGTTGATCAAACACCAGTTGTCGTCGTGTCGTTTGGCGCTGATAAGCTAGTTCGTTTGATAAGTCCACCCGTTCCTTATTTTTTTGGGGGAAAGTGCCAATAACTCCATTGTTTTGTAGGTTTAACCTAGATCGATTACCGTTTGATACTAGTAAGCCAATCCAGATGCTCGGTTCTTCATTCCTCACCAGGTATCTCTCTACTAATGTTTTCTCCATTTGATATCCATCTAAATTCTAAATTGACTGGAACTACAATCAAAGATAATTAATAGTCATATTTAACAATCTCCGGTCTCCACTCAAAAATGTTCCCTTGGGTTCAGTAACAATTAGCATGAAGGTGGTCTGCTAGGCTGCATTTCAACGACAATGGAAAATATTTATCCAGGAAAATTCCTATATATCTCCATTGTTTGGTTCTTGATATATATAATACATCACAAGGCAAAAATTTTCTAAAACTGAAGTGAAAAAGTTTAGAAACAAGTTTATGTTGATTTATCAGGAATTTGGTTTAAAGGGATGGCAGTTGGTGGATTTSAAGTAGTTGGGACCAACCAAGGGTGAGATGAGGTTAGGAGAAAAAATGGATAATTTACATATGATATACGTCATTATATATCAATTTCACACTTTGAGGACCTATATCATACATTTTGACCATTGGATGTGGTTTGCATTCAAGATCCACCATTGGATTTCAAAATCGGCCATTTTATACAACTATGAATAATTTGGACCATTAGATCGACTCAATGGATCCTAAATATCAAGTAATAGTGTCACGCTGAATCACCCATATAGCTGTTTCTTGAAATTCCCCACCAAATAGGGGAAACATTTATTTTTGTTGAGTTTTGAAGTAACTTTATGGGCCCAAAAATGCCCAACCAAACAAATAAACAAAAAAGTTTAAAGTTAGTGTTTATTAGATAAACGCCCCCCAATAAACACCAACGGTACCAAATATATATTAAATCTGTCCACTGCTTTCGGGGAACTGAACAAAGAATGTGGCTATCATTGAATTTTGGCATCGGAAGAAAAATAAAAATAAAAACTATTTCTCAATGTGAATTCTCGTATCAGCGTATAATGAGAACATTGATTAAAAAATAGGAGAACATCATGAGAAGATGAGTGCTAATTGGAACTTATTGGCTCATTTGAATCTTCATGGAAGGTTCTTAAAAAGAAAAAAAACAATAGGTGGTAATGGAGGCATGGCACTAGTAGTTCATGCAAGGTCCTGAACAATATCCATAGTTGAATGTAATATGAATAGGTGCTGATGGAGGTAGCTTCTTCTTCCTGTCACATTATAAAAACGCCATTACCCAATGTTGGTCCCAGCTATCTGGGGTCTTGGGTTCTTGTCAGTTGTCACATGATAACAAGGACCAAATGTTCAAAGTTATTTCCAGAAAAGGGCCAAAATGGTTTTTTGAGAAATGAAGCAAAGAAATTGAAAAATACAGCAAATACTATAAAAAAGCTGCAGAATGTGAAGAGAAATGCAAAGTATAGATGATAAAATAGCATTCACTCTTTATTTATTTAGTCCTAGAGTTAGTACTTAGAGTAAAACTAACATCTCCCACCCTCAGGCTTACCAAAAGTTGGATGAATTCTTATACAATGAAATCTAAGGCATGAATTCATATGATCTATATTCCAACTCCACATTGATGTGAATTTTAAATGGAAGAATCAATGGACATCTATTAAAAAGGGTAGATGTCCATTGATTCCCCTATCTTAATTCATATGCATCTTCTGTTTGAATCCAACTATGTGAATAGGAATCTTATAACTGAGGTTACAGGTCTCTCCTGTATAACCACAAATCACAGATAAACAACTCAGCTGGAGAAAGAATTAATGGCATTGAGAAAATGTGAGTCTGATTACATTAAAACAAAACCATATGAAATAGTCATGATTTACAACAGGATCACCGATTCCTTTCAGCCCTGATAATACCCATTCCCTACCCCAGTATTGTCAGTTGGTCCCATCTAATAATACCAAACTCTAAGCTCAAGCAAGTCAGATGATTCTGATTAGTGGTAATATAACTACCAAATTGTTCCTATAGGAATAAGTAGACATCCCACAAATGGTAGAGATAAAAAGCCATGCATATCACAAGGAGATCCATTTATGAATATAATTATGAGAAAGGAGACTAAATTCATGAAAAAAGATTCACTTATGAATGTAACATTTTTTGAGAGAAAATGTTAGCCATATGGTTCTACAGTAACATGGGTATTGCCATCAACATGGCTCTCCCACATTCTTCCTCATTGATGATGATGCTTCATACACCATTATGGCTAGAATAGCTCTTTTGGACTTCCTTCCCTTCACAGAGTCCATCATTAACTTGTACACTTAATTGATGCACACAAACAACAAACTTGAACAGCATCAGTCAAAAAAAACAAGGAAAAAAACATAGAATTGCCTTATCTAGATTGTATCTAGGTCTTTCTACACTCCCTTATCTAGGCCTTTCACCCTTGATATCTCTGTATACTTGTGTGGAACTCTCTAGATTGTGTCTAGGTCATTTTTGATAATCTAGATGTCTAAATAGCCTGCTTAGCTGTGTATTGTGTGTCATAATCCATAAAGTACGCAAACCAACTTCAATAACTGATTTATTTATTTAATTTGGACAAGTAGATTTCTCTAACTGGATCCAAAGTCCAGACACAGAACTTTTTTCTTTGAGGAAAAGGTAAAATATTTCATTAAGACTCCACTTGGAAGGAGTACAAATAAGAATATGTAGAGTACAAATAGATAGAAAATAATACAAAATACAAGGTTTTGTATTCTACATATTTGGATTTGTACTCCTTCCAAACTGAGCCTAACAGATCAAAAAGAGAACAAAGCCCTGGTGAATAGAGCACTGTGCAGGGAACATCAGTCTTTCTGTACAATATCTGTTCTGCGTGCATAGATACAAAAAGAGTTCTGTACTAAAAAAAGGAGCTATAAGACAAGTTCTTGAAAAACTTGTGAGCTTTCAACTCACGAATACAATCTACCCCATAAAACTTTCAGAATGTTATCTTCTGTATTGTGTTTATTTCCAAACAGCCTCCTGTTACTTTCTGCCTATATTGTCCATAACACACCAGAGGTTACTAGACCCCAAAGAATGTGTCCTTTTTTGGATAAGCACCTCAGTTGCCTTCACCACAATAGCGCCTCCAAAGTCTCTGGGAAACAGAACTGGATGTCAAAGAAACCCATTAGGGTTCTTGCCAACTTGCAATGTATGAAAAAAATGATTTTGTTCTTCTGAAGCCTCTTCACAAATTACACATCTGCCAGCAAGGTTGTCTGCTGTTATGCAGTTCCCCAAAGTTGCTGTCCATAGCAAAAAAAAAAAATGCAACCTTGGGATGAGCAATAGTTTTCCATATTCTAGCTTCTGGGGATACTGCCAACTAGATAAAGGCGTACCACAAAACTACAATGAGAACTAAATAAAAAGTGCTCATATAGAGATGTTATCCAAACTTTTCCTTCATGCACGAAGCATTCAACATGCCCTTTTGCCACAGCTTCATAACGTCTGGGTGTACTTCTCATAGGATAGCCATGTAATGTCTTTTATATGGTGAGATGTCCAGTATAATTGGCTTTAAAAATACTAGCATTGTAGTACTCACAAAATTTTCTGCTATTCTGCCCTTCTGAATTTTGAAATGTTCATCCCCTTAAAAATAGTGATCACTGAATTTGTATTCTAAGCAAGTATCAACATATAAGTAGCCTTTACAAAGAAAAGGCTAAAACTTGCATCGTCATAATTTTTCCAAAATGATACTAATCCAGTCATTGCTTCACAAATTTGAAATTCTTCACAGCCCTGAAATGCTATTATTACCCGGTGACAGCATTGAGTTGCAGTCATTATATCAGGATAGGAAAATAGACACAACAATGACAAGGAGAGAAAGCAATGTGGTCACCTCCAATCTAATCCATCTTGCTCTCTCTCTGATATTTAGATGGTTCTTCCATCTGCACTTTCCTTTGGTAAAGTATTCTTTGACCGAGCTTGGGATCTTACATAACTCAACCGAATTCTTCCTTTCAGGGATAAGATGTTGCATCTAGCTTCAGTGTGAGCTCCTTCATTCTCTGCATCTTGTTGTCGCCGCAAATGATCAAGAACTATAAACAATATAAAGACCACTGTGAATTCCATATCCTAATAGTCAAGGACACTTGATCATCTGCTTCCATATTGAGCCTAATAAGTTTAAGGAGTGAAAGGACTTGCAAAGAACACGTAAATCTGGGAAAAGAGCAATGTGGAAAAAGAAGTTAAATATGACCTTTATTGGAAGGGGTTGCTCCTTCAACTCGATCCCCACTTAACATTTCCATTTCATCTGCACTTTGTAGCAGTTGGGTCTTTCTTAGCCGAGCTTGACATTTCATCCAATTCAAACGCATTTTTCCTCGCACTGGGGCAGACGAATTTTCAGCTCCAACATTGGCTTCCAAGCAGGTTGTACTTGTACCTTGATTTTGATCCTTTCCCAAGTGGTCTACAAGCAATGCCAGACAGATTTCACTTTATATTTTACTCTGCATCTTCTATGTAAATCAAAAGCCAAGAGGTATCTCTTGGAATAAATGTATTAGTTTTAATGGATGAAGGCTTTCTGTTTACGGGGAAACACAAAGTTTAGTTGGAGCCAAACCTTCTGAACGTTCACCGACCGTGGAATAGGCTCGAGCATCTGCACTACCACCACTCTTGGAATCTTTCCCTCCTTCAGTTAACTCTCCTAGACGCCACTGAATCGAATCCTGCCAATGCTCCTCAGCTGGCATTTGCATTCTGTGCTCGTTCCCAACCTCCCGTTTCTCCTCTCGCTGTTCTTCCAACATCCGCTTCCTCCGCAGCCTCTGTGCACTCCGACGCCGTTCTCTTAACCGTTCTTTCTCTTCCTCCGTCATCCGCAATAGCCGTTTTCTTTCCCAAAGGCGCTTCATTGCCCTCCGCTCTTCCGTGATCACTCGCTGCCGTCGCGTCCTGCTTTTTTTGCTCAGTTTTTCCTCCGCCATTGAAAATGTCTAAATATAAGTTTTCAATTGAAGGACCAGTTGTTCACTCAAAACGCAGTCTTCACAGCGTCTTACAGAATTTCTCGCTTTCTCCAGTAATCAACCTAATGGCACTTCTTGATTCTCCTACTTCACAAGCAACGGAGCTTCTTTATAGGTCAAACTGAACACAGGGAAAAAAAAGTAACTACAAAACTCGAACAGACTGAATACATTTACGATCAAAATGGAGAGGAGACTCATCAACGTACATGCAAGTTTCGATCTTTTAATCCATTTTTGAAAAACCAGATTATCAAGAGAGAGGCGCCCTGTGTGAGGAGCAGATCCGGCCTCTCAAGAGAGAGAGAGAGCATAGAATATGACATCGAGCTCCGGTCCACCGGTCCGGCGGTCGAGACAGTACTTGAATCGAAATAAAAAGGGAGCGTACTATTTCACTGTGTAGGGATTTATATAACTTTTTTACCCTTCTCCAAGACTTCTGTACATGCAGTACAGCTAGTCTATAGAGTATTACGTTGACGTAAATAGCATTTGACAAAGGGGTAAATAGTGAATAGGATACTAGGTGGACATGCCGACGATTAGCGAGCGGATGAAGGCGTATTTGTGGATTTAAAGCTCTGAGAAAACGAGCCGTTTTATAAAGGCTGAAGTGACTGAATGACTTATTGATTTGACTGTGACTAATATAATTTTATTTACCAAAGACGAAGCAATAAGTCATTCAGTTAAGTCAATTCAGCTACTGTCAAACGGCCCCGCTCCCGCTCAGAACCGTAAAAAGGTTCGTTTGTTTCCCTCTCGATGAAGGAATGTATAAATAGAAAAATGGCATTTTCTGACCATGGAGATGGAGCTATTCAAACTCGACCTATAAAATGATCCAAAGCTCTCTCAATAAATCCGCCTTCCTTCTGCTCTCTCTCTCTCTCTCTGTGCGTGTGTGTGTATGGACTGTGCGCGCGCCCGCGCAGGATGAGAGAACGGAGAACTAAATGTACTTGTAAATTAACGTTTGTTACTGTAATTTGTATACTTCTGAGCTCTAACCCGATAAATGCAAAAGGGTTTGAGCCTCTTATTCATCACCCTCGTTTTCGGAGGAGTAGAAACCATGTCAGTTTCAAAAAGGTTATTTCAGTGAAGGAGTATGGAGCTAAAGGGGATGGTTTGGTTGACGATACTAGGGTAGGCCTGGTTTGGTTTCAGTGTTGTTTTTTTTTTTAGTTTTTCTTAATGAGTGGTTTCAGTGCTTAAGTTTCCTTATAGAATATTGTCTGAAGAGTTGTTAATCTCTATTCTTTCTTTAAATAAGTTCTTTCCTTCTCAGTTTTAACTTCATGATCACATGGAAAATTTGGGGAAAATGAGGATGTTATATATCAGAACATTTTAAAATGCAAGGTGGATGAAGAAACCATCCATGGGGAATCTCCTACTTACCCATAAAAATTTTCAGCAGATGAACAAAAGGTTTTATATTCATTTTCTCTTTTGGCCAGATTGAGACGAGGAAACATCATATCCACTAGTAGACGTTGATGCTAATTCAGTCAGTAATTCATTTTATTATTCAGTTGTTATTTATTGAATTTCCATCTTGGGTTTGGAGGAAAACATCTTATTTCCATCCTATTATTCAGTTGTCATTTATTGAATTCTCATATTGGGTTTGGAGGCAAACATCTTATTTCCATTCTGTTACTCACTGTCATCCTCATTTGAAAATCTTATTCAAAGACTTTCATGGGAAACCGGATAGATTCTTTGCCTATCAATTACTCCAGTTCCCATACTGGGATACAATGCTTTTTTTGGGGTATCTGATGAATTTCATGTTTTCAGGCTTTCAAGGATGCCTGGAAGGTAGCTTGTTCCTTATCATCACGACCAAGAATTGAAGTCCCAGCTGGAAGAAATTATCTGGTTGGGCCAATCGATTTGGGTGGGCCTTGTCGATCAAGGGTGACATTGAGAGTAAGTTTCAAATCGCCATGATACCCCTTTAATACATACTGTTTGGTTAATTAATGAATTTTCACCCTTTTACAAGTTTAATCATGTTCTGAATTTATCTGCAAACCAAGTTACCTGCTATTCGCTTGTTTATATTGGAGTTTCCATTTTGGCAGGTGTTTGGTAATATAACTGCTCCCAAAGATCCTGCTTCCTGGAATGGTTTCAATCGAAGAAAATGGCTCTACTTCCATGGCTTGAATCGTTTCACTGTAGAAGGAGGAGGGACAATTAATGGGATGGGAGAGGAATGGTGGGCCAGGTCTTGCAAGATCAATACAACCAATGTAATGTTCTCTTCCTTTGGATTTCATATCTGATTTGTTTTCTTTCCTGTATTTGATGACTGAACTGGAATTCAATTTATTTTGCAGCCATGTAGACATGCTCCAACGGTTAGTGTTTTACATTAATTCATTCTTTTTGTCAGCACTGTTAGTTTTATAGTTTTGGTCATTTTATCTGTTTCCTCTTTGTGGCACAAAGTTTATAGTTTCCTCTAATGGTTGTATCCAGAATTTAAGATGTATATAGTTATACTGCAGGCAGTTACTTTCCACAGATGCAAAAATCTGAAAGTCCAGAGCATCAGGATAGTGAATAGTCAACAAATGCACATGGCATTCACTAAATGTAATCGGGTCATCGCATCCAATCTTGAATTGATTTCGCCTGGTGAAAGCCCTAACACTGATGGAATTCATATAAGTGCTTCCACTCGTGTTGAGATCGAAGATAGCATGATCAAAACAGGTTTATTGTTCTCTCTTAACGAGTTAGTTTTTTTTCCCAAATTTCAGCTAGATCTGGTTAAAGGTTTCAGTTCATATTTAGTTGCTAGAGGTTATGTGATGGAACACACACAATTAACACAAAGAACAAGATAGATTAAGTTTGGCTTTCATCACATTCTTATTAGGGGGGAAATTTCAGTCCTGAAAATTTGCCACTTGTCAAGAATAGCCCTTTCTTTTTGGGTATTTTAATATTAAAAGTTAGAAATTTGAATGACTAATATCAGTTGGAAAAAATACCATTGCAAGTAGAATACAGGCTGATCTGGCTATGTGGGCTGACTATTGAAAACATGGTCTCCTGCCTGGTAAATGGCTCAGATTGGCCACACCATTGATTTGGAGGGCTTATCCTCTACAAGCAAAGTGCCAAAAATAGCATCTCTTTTCTTCTCACTTCTTCTAAACTATCTAACCCATTTATAGATCACGTGCACCAGTCTTTTGAATACACTCAGTCTCAGCACTCATGCTGTAATCAGAGTTCTCTTTGACTTATTATAGGAGATGATTGTGTCTCCATTGTCAGCAACTCTTCCATGATTCAAGTCAGAAATATTTCCTGTGGACCTGGCCATGGTATAAGGTAACATATTTTCAACTTCAATTACTGCTAATCTCATGGTATCTCTAACACAGACTAATTCTATTCTATATCCAATAGTATAGGAAGCTTGGGAAAATCAAATTCATCAGCTATTGTGAGCAATGTGTTGGTTGATGGAGCCTTTCTGTCAAATACCGCAAATGGGTTGAGGATCAAAACATGGCAGGTAATCTTCAAGACTAACTTTTACACCAATTAATTTTGTAAAAATAAAAATGAGGCATTGCTAATACTTCTTCCATGTTTTCTCCATGTCTATCAGGGAGGTCATGGTTTTGCCCGACAGATCCTTTTCCAGAATGTTGTGATGGAAAATGTTTCACACCCAATTATTATAGATCAGTATTATTGTGATTCATTTCTACCATGTTCAAATCAGGTAACATCCGATAACTATTAGTTTCTATAGAAAAACTAAGACATTCATGTGATGTTCTCACCAACATTTTTTCATTTTTGTGTCCAATGCTCTGAAACATATTCCTGAAATGCTGTCAGACTGAAATGAACTCCTTTTTATCAGTTTTAGATTCGCAGTTGCTGTTTATCAAACAAACAATTCATTCCAATAAGAAATTATGAAAAAAGTTGTCTTAAAAAATGAAGTCTAGTAAACTAATTTCATCATCCAAAATGCAGAGTATGGCAGTTCAGGTATCTAATGTGTCTTATGTGGGAGTTAAAGGAACCTGTGCAACAGAGGAAGCAGTAAGATTTGCTTGCAGTGACAACTTCCCATGTAAAGGAATATATTTAGAAGATGTACAACTCGTTTCACACTTAGGGGAGCCTACAAGAACCTTTTGCTGGGAATCTTGGGGCACCAGTCATGGTACAGTATATCCCCCTCATTGTTTCTTATCTAATGTCAACTCCATTGAGCAGAAGGTTCATTCAACCACTACCAGTAATCAAATTTTAAGATAAACCATTGATCAATGTTATTTGTACAAGTTTCTTACTTCCATCAACACAGCGAACAAAATAATCTGTGACAAGTGGTTGCTGGTGAATGTCAAAATAATAATGGTAGCTTACTGGTCTATATGTTTTCTTGTAATTTATTATTTATTTGCTTTTGATAAGCTAATGAAATGAGCTTATACGTTTTCTAAAATTCACCCAGTCGGGTTAAAATTAAGTACTGCACTGTCAAGGTTTTAGTTCGATACTTAGAGATCTTTCGCCATTTTATTTTTATGGTATTGGTATTCAAGATTTCAATATTAGAATTGGTCCTTTTACAATTAAAGCAAGAGATACTGTCATATTTGTGTGATACCAATTAAGAACGAACATGCATCGAGCTACTAAGTACTACTTGTCAAGGATTGATAAAGTCACAGAGATTTGGCTATTAATGAGTTTTGTAATTTATAGTCCCACATGGCTCATTAAGAAGTTCTGCAATTACTAAAATCCTCCATTGACAAGAAAAGTTGTGAGGATGTCTCTTGAATCACAATTGGTTATTGGTAACACGTCCATGTGTACATGACCACGCAAAACACAGCGTTTCTGACCACTCTGAAGGTGATAACCAAAATGCCAAAAGTTTGCATTACAGCAAACCGTGATTACCTTTCAACAGCATTTAAGCAACTATTTAGGTTGTGTTTGATATTATTGATGTTTCTACATCAAATGTTTTGATATTATTGTGTTTGGTACTGTTGTTTTTACTTATATGTTTCTACATCAAATGCTAGAATACATGTTTAAATTGTGCCTTTTTCAACTATAAACAACCTTGACAGTAACAGTTGTGTGCCAATATATATTGATCAACCTAACTAAAAACAACAGTACCAAACACAACCTTAGTCTAAATCAACCAACGGAAATTCTATTTGCAGGAATTATGAGCCTTTGGTAGTCTGCTAATGAACACCAAGCTTGGGGGCACCGTGTAATGTTAGAGAATAAAAACCTATTCTTCGACTAGAAAAAAAAAAGCCCTATTCAGGGACCTCAGATACTTGAAATTCAATTAATTATAACAGCTGATGAGGATGAAACACTAAACCACTTGGTCAAATGGCATCTAATACATTTCAAAGAATCATTTAACCTAAAAGCTTAAGTTGTCAGGTGTAAGATTCAAAGTATTGTTACATACTGGCCAATACATATTGTTTTGGGACCCTTCCGATATGCCCCTACAGTGGGTGTATTGGGGGTCTGAACGGTTCAGGGGATGGAGGGGTCCTAGACCGGCTCCCCTGAATCAGTTTTGAAAAAAAAAAAAGTAAAAAAATAAATATCGAAATGGGCGTATCGAGCGTATCAATATTTTGAACCTTGGTCAGGTGAGGTCCTTGAAAAATTTTAATTCTCTAACATTTGGGTTAGAATCAATCCAAATCAAAACCAATTTGAACGGATTGAGCAGTTCAATAAGACATTGAATTGGACCAATCTAGACTTAATGGTCCAAAATATTTAATGGATTGGAATGAATCTGGTTCACCTGTAATGAATTTGAATGGGTTGAGCAGTTCAATAAGACATTGAATTGGACCAATCTAGACTTAATGGTCCAAAATATTTAATGGATTGGAATGAATCCGATTCACCTGTAATGAATTTTTATTGGACTGGGTTGGGTTGAACCAATATCAGATCCATTGGCAGAAGATAAGAATAGGGGACCAGGTATAAGTTGGACGGAATCTGAATTAAAACCAGTTTGAACAGATTGGACGGTCCAATAAGACATCGAATTGAACCAGTCCAATCCAAAATATTTATCAGATCGGTTTGGATCTGATCCATCTGTAATGGATTCATTGGACCGTATAAGGTTGGACCAATATCCGGTCCATTGGTAGCTCTACTAACAAGTAGGAATTTTCTATAATTAGGAATGTTCCAGGAAGTGGGAACCGTCTAGTCAACGTGCATGGGTTGGATGGTCACACTCATGCTGTAAGACAGGAGCCTGCAGAGAAGCTTCAAATTTGTGAAATCTGATCAACACTGCCAATATCAGATCAAATATAACCAAATGATGTTGTTAATCCGCTCTGGGCCTCATTCTCTGTGTTTGGTTTGAGGGAAAAAGTAGGGAAAGGTAGGGAAATTTATACAAGTTTTATGAAGGTTTCATTACCTTTTCCTACTTTTTCCTTCAAACCAAATACAGCCTTAATTCTTGCTCATTCTGGGCAAGAATGAGCAAGAATGAATAACACAATGTTTGGTTACAAAATTCTTGCTATGGGATTCATTCTTTTTAGAATGAAAAATCAGCCCATAGCACAAAATTGAGGTAGTTTGCAGCATAAAAAATAATCATGCTCCGTCTTGCTCATTTTCATTCTTTGAAAAAACTTTGCCTACAAAGCTGCTGCCATAGATGTTTAATAGCGGACTACCATGAAAGTACTTTTACAAAAGCACTTTATAGACGTATTTTTACATGAAAAACACTTCTTATAAAAGTACTTTTACACAAAAACACTTTAATAAAGGCACTTTTACAAAAACACTTTTATAAAAGTACTTTTACATGAGAGCACTTTTACGAAAACATTTTTTACAAAAGTACTTTTACACAAAAACACTTTAATAAAAGTACTTTTACGAAAGCAATTTTATAAAAGTACTTTTACACGAAATCACTTTTATAAATGTACTTTTATGAAAGCATTTTTGTAAAAGCACTTTATGGAAGTACTTTTATAAAATACTTTTACGGAAGTTTTATAAAATCACTTTTTCGAAAGAATTTTATGAAAGTGTTTTTATGAAAACACTTTTACGAAAACACTTTTATAAAAACAACAAAAGCACTTTTATAAAAAAGTACTTTTACAAAAGCGCTTTTACGAAAGCACTTTTACATAAAACACTTGTTAGTTTGAAAAGAATTCATTTTTAGGAAAAAAAGCATTTGGTGCATAGTAATATTTTGTCATTTTGCATATTTTTATCCATTCTTGTCCATTTTAGAATTTCATCTTGGGTAAGAATGAGAATTGAACCAAACATGGCCTTGATTTACACGTAACTACCAATTAGAAGCTCTACTTTCCCAAAAAAATCTTCTTAAAATCTCTCTCTCTCTCTCCCCTACACATTCCAATAACCTAAATAATCTAATATCCTAAAATTTCTCGTGAACAACCTCCCCCACTATCCCCAACTTTATCCTAAGTTATCTCTAATTTAGTAGAGTTTCTCTCCTAAATTATCTCTAATTCTTATTTATCTTCCCCCCCACTTTTTATCTACATCTATCTAAAGAAAGTTTGAATTAAAAAATTTAACAATTATTTAAATATTCTAACAAAATTATATAATAACTTTAAAATATTTATTAAAAAGACAAAAATAATTATAATCGATTTAATAATATTCATATTATTAATAATTATATATTTTTACAAAACTCATCACGGAATTTTGTACAAACAAAATAAACTATGACTTCCTAGATTATTCAATCTAAATGTTATTCAAATAATAAAAATCTAACATTAAAAATGAAATATTGTTTAAATATTTCAATAACTAAATATCTTAAATAAAAAAATATTAAAATTAATAGTTTAAATCTATTAATAATATATTTTAAATAATTACTAAATAACTTTCATTTATAATAAATAGATTAAGATTTTAAATATTTAGTTAAATAACTAAATATATTAAATAACAAAATATTTAACATAGCTAGATTTTAAATAGTTAAAATAACAAAATTATATATTAATAGTACTATAATTTTATGGATTATTAAATTCAACAAGCAATTAATATTTTAAAATTTAAATAATGATATTATTTCAATAAATAGATAATATTGTAAATAACTAATTTCATTTATACCAATTAATAATTTTAGAAAATAACTTTCAAAAAAATTATTGTTTATTAATAATAATTTTAAGAACTTAATCTTTATTTATTATATATTTATCTATACTAAAATTAATATTTATTGTGTTTTAATAATTATTTATTGTTTTTGTGATAAATATATTTTCAATAACTATTGATGTTACACGATCTGGTGCTCCCTACTAGCGGGTAGCTTGGACATCAAACTGTGTAGGTCACCTAGTTGAGCTACAAAAGAAGAGATCAGAGTGTTTGGGTTTCTTTATCCGAGGTGGGCACTCCGATGCTCAAGTTAGTGAACATCGTGTTTGATTGCAAGAAAGCGAGAGAGAATGCGAGAGAGCTAGAGTGTTGTAAGAGCTAAATCGCACGTACCTTTTTTGAGGAAGGGGATGCCTTTATATAGGCTAATAGCCATGAGCACCACGAACCGTGTCTAAGATCTCTAGCCCATCTAGTTCAGAGGTGGTTTCATGCCCGGAGATCCATGTAAGTGGGTAGTGCTTATCTAGTCATGCTCGAAATGAGCGGGGTGGTAGTTAGCTCCGTTGACATGGCATCATGATCCTAGGGAAGTCAAAGGTGGAAACTCGCTTGAGGTGGTCTCCTGTCGCGTCACATAGGCCGCTAGCTAAAATCTTTACTAGGTTGGCGAAGGTAGGTCACCTCTTTATAGTTTGTCCTGCTGAGGTGGGGCCGAGGAGTCCGTGATGGATGTGAGGTGTTTGTCGTGCTCCCGAAGTCTGCTTACATGGCATTGAGTTGTTGTCTGGCAGTTTTGTGGAGCCACGTGTCACAATGTCACTGGAGGGACAAATTACCCCTCATCAATTATGTATAAATCTATTTTTGTTTTGTTACTTAATAAAAAATTTTCAATAATTAATAGAATTTAAACTACTGTTATTTTGCTTTTTAAATTTAACTAGTAATTAAGCACATGCGTTGCACGTGAGAAAATTTTCTTCATATTAATTACTTGAATTTTAGATATATCATAGTTAAGATAGAAATTGAAAATTAAAAAAAGTAACAATATGTTAAAAATAAACTTAAATATTTATTATTCAATTATGACATCATGTGTTTTTTTGAAAAATTGGATCATTGACCCACCATCTAGATAAGAAATAGCATTGCTTTTGGATTAGTTTTAAATTAGGAAAAATTATAGTCCGGCTGCACATTTAAAATTTAGTTACAAGTTGGTCCATAAACCAACAAAACTCTAACAAATGGCTCTACATTTCAAGTTACAAAAACCCTCGCCATGTCATCGGAGGGTTATGTGGCTAT